TCCAGAATAAAGAAAAGGGTGATTGGCATCAGTTATCAATTGAAGAAATGAAAAATTTGTATCGTCATAGTTTTCGGATGACGTTGGAAGAAACCAAGGCACCGCACCCACGCTGGAAGCTAGCGATTGCATGGGCCACATTTCTTATGTCGGGCGCAATGCTTTACTTCTGTTTCATTAAATCTGTTGGTACGTTTCTCGATCTTGGCCTACCACCTAATCTACCTTTAGTTCTGAATCTTCCGAAGTGCTCGTATGCTGAAAAGGATTACAAGGATGCTTTACTTTACCGTCGTTTATACAGTCGCGATGGTCCTATCGACGGCCTTGTTTCTTCCTTCGATTTTGAAAATATGAGGTGGAAGTAGTTCTGCAAGAACACTTTGCATGTACTCAGGGCTGTTTTTGACCCATCAGTAGTCTAACAAAACAATTTTCTTCACTTTCGCCTTTTTCGCTATTTTTCGCTTTTTTATTGCTACTCAATAGTCGTTGAGTAAATCTTTTACGTAGTTTTCGCGGGCTTCGTTTGTTCTTTCGCTTGCCCGGCGTGGCCTGGCAACCAAAGCCGAGGCTAATCTGATTTCAATCCTCAAGGTTCGTTTTCCTAAATCCGAGAAGATTTTAGTCGAAGATGTCAGTGGTAAGTCACCCGCCTTCTGGGTCTGTTATTATATATGGTTAGGTGGCTGTGGCGCTATGTTTCAAATTTTCATAAAGTCCAAGGAATTCGCGGGGATGTCTGTTCTAGCTCAACATCGGGCCGTAAAGGAGGTCGGTTTGATCGATTTTTGTAAACGCACTCTGTATAGGCTCTGAAAGAGGAAATTCCAAGTATGCACGGGCTTACCCTGACGGTCGAAGTGTGATTGGACTCGATTAGAAACTAGCACAGGCATGTACAGTACACCCTTCGCCCATGCTCCTTGACAGTACTTATGCCCGGACCCTGATGATTTTATAGTACACACAACATATTAACATCCGCCACTTTTTCTGTCTTCCATGGGTGCGCAGTTCATCTGGTTTCTTTTTGCCTTTACTCTTCCGGCGCCCGGAATCCATCGGTTCCCAGCTCGATTATTACTGCCAATGACCATAATTAATAACTTGAGATGCTCAAGTTGCCAATAAGCACTGCATTTAACACTTCACAGAGCTTTACTCGGGTCAAAAAGGACAGTATGCTAGCTTTCATGGAACCGAGGAACATCTCTTTTGCGCAGTGTTGCCCATCAAGCGATAGCGTCATCTTACTGTACGAAATCACAGCTTTGTATGCGGTTGGATATGAGCGCTTGTCTCCTCTCAGTGCCCTTGTGCAGTGCCGATTTAAGATTTAGGCTGTTGCCCCATCGGTTCTGCAACTAGTGGCACAGAATGTTCATCCACTTTATAACTGTCATTCACCCAAAAGTGAACCCTGGGGTTTGCAGGACTGAACTTGTCCTCGTAATAGCATCATTAAAGGAAAAGACATAGAGTGAAAAGTATAAAGTCATGGAAAAGTGGGGTTGAATGTCCCTAAAGAAAAACAAATCCAAGGGGTAACATGTACACTGACAGGGGAGTGGTGGTTTCGCCTT